TCAAAAAGGAAATTAGATTTTGCCATCTCTTGTACAAAAAGTTTCTGTGCTTTCTTTGTTTGGAGTACATGACGGGGAAAGTTAAAGGTGAAAAAAAAAATGAAGTTTTGCCACAATCTATATGACGGAGCAAAGCATACTAGAACCAACCCTTTCATATCCTACGGCTCAGAGGAATGAAGAGCTGACATGAAGTCTCTGGTTTCAAGTCTAATGACTGAATTAAGGCTATCTTGATTTCAAATTCTTATTCTAAAATGCACAGTTTGCTTGAAAACTTCTCAGTGAATAATACTAAAGCTCTTTAATGGAGAAAAGACACTGGTCTGCAATAGAGGAATAAAGCAGCTTTTAGAAAAGAAACGAAAAGAAAGAAAAAGAAAAGAATGAAAAATAGTACGAAACCCACACATCCAATAACCAGTGTTCGGACAGGGTCGAGCTACTTAGATGATGCGCATCATTTCCTTCATTCTTCCCAGCAACTACGCACAGACTCCATCATCCTGCGAGATGTGAGTATATTCTTTCCTCTTCCTTTTTATTTTTTTAAGGAAATAAAATGTTCACGCCGATATGTGCCACAGTGTCTGAACAGTATGGATTTCAGCCTGCGTACGCACCTGTCTGCGCTGTGACCTTCAATAACTCATTTAACACCCCAATTCTCCATGTGTATAAGGCAGAGCTCATGGAGCTATCAGTTTCCTCTCACAAAGGAGAAATGCATCAAAGGTGTAAGTAAAATTGCTTTGAGAATTGGGCTATAAAGATATGTTTGTAACAGTAAAGGGCTTACATGGTCTGGTATTTAATGATAAACGAAACTTTAACACAGTTTCTTTACAAACATATGTTAAAAGCTGAAAGGCATCATCTAAAAATGGAAAAATTTTAAATTATAAGCCATAATGCCAAAATAAACAACTCTGAAGTCTAGAAAGTTAAACATATTAGTTCTAGTGATAGTCATCTGGGAAGAATCAAAATGCATTACTTGAAGGAAGATGCAAAAAATCTGGTCATAAAAGAATTATTATATTTTGGACTTGAGCTTTTAAATTTGGGATGTCTCTTAGTTAAATATGAACGCTGTAACAAAACCCCATATTTTAAGAAAACCCTACCAGCAAGGCCTTATTGTATTTTATATCCCATCCATTCTGCATGGTGCCAGGTTATTATTTCTTTTTACATCACACCACAAAAATCTAGTTCTGGTTCTAGAGCTCATTCTGTTTGTTTTGCTTGTGTAGCTGGGCTTAGAATGTTGGTATGATTTTTTTTTCCCCCAGAATTAACACATTTAAGGCCAATGCCTAGTATTCTCAAAAATAACACAGTGCACCTGTAATTCATATAACAATGACCTCCATATAAATTTTACACATACAAAAGACTACAGTGGTCAATATTCTCTTATTCATTCTAACATTTCTTACTGGTATTTCTCTTTTTTAGTTTCTAGTGTGCACTCAATAATATAGTGACATAATCCCTAACTTGAAAAGGTATGACAGTATATTGGAAAAAGAAGAAAGCCTATAAAAATGACAGTTATATAAAATGGAAAGGATACGCCACTTAGTGAAATGAAATGCATTTGATAAACAGTAGCAAATAAAGAAGCTTATCTGTAGCTGGAGAAATATAAATTTGGTTTCTTATTAAGCTAAAATCCCCTAGTACAAAAATTTAAAACCTTTCCATTGGAGGTAAAACACTTATCCTCAATTTAAATATACAATGATAAACAAAGCAATGCAAATTCAATTATACATTTTTCTATTTAGCATTTCTTAAGAGTTTACTATGATTCTATTTTTATATGTTTTTGGTAACACGTCAAAAAATTATTTAAAAATACAGTGTTGAGATGTTATCTGAAGTGCATTGTATCCACACATGCCCAGGATACTTAAGGGTTTGTGACAGATTTTAGGACCAAGACTACGGAGATTGCTGTTGAGAATGAAAACCTGGATAAGCAGGACTCCGCACAACGCAATGTAGGATACTTCTTCCCAGTAGTTAACAGCGAGTACTTACTACGAGTCACATTTACAATGAACGTTCTCCCAAACATAGCACTCAGCAGGGACACTCCAAGGCGTGTTGAATTGTGCCAAAGTGGCTATCACAAAGAATACCACAAAATGGTTCCATTCCGCCTTTATGTTTGCAGATGTGAACTTTTTTTTTCAAAACAATCTGTGCAAACCCCTCGACACAGTACTTATGTGCTCTATCGCAGAAAATTTCTCAAGATGAATTTCAAGCACACCACTAGAGTCAAGTCACATGCCCTGCTACAAAGAAATGCCGGAAATCTGACATATCTACGGTATTCGCGCGCACACGCACACACGCGCGCACACGCACACACGCGCATATTTATGGGGAACTATCAGCATAAATCAAATGGCTATGAATAAAACATCATTGAACTCTACAGGAACTCGATTCCAACGTCAGAAGTAGAGCATCGCCAAATCCCTTGTCACTATCGAAAACAGAAAGCCAAAAAGAAATACATCTCAATACTAACAATTTCTTTACTATGTTATATTCAAGTTTTCGTCAACGCCCAAACAACTTCAAACTTGTGTTTATTTTCACACACAGAAACATGAAGGTAATAATACGGATTTTCTAAATTTCGATTTTTAGTAGAACCTGCTAGGTGTACCACTTTACACTCTGGGAAACAGAAACACACATGGTGACAAAGCACGCTTCTACTGAGACAAGAAGACACCTTGTCCATGAGAAGTTGAGTGAGATCATCTCCCATCCTCGGTTGCCTTTCATTCTAGATCTTATCAAACAGCTGAACTGCCAGGCACCTACAGATGTTCTGATCACAAGGTCATCTCTGCCATCCGCTGCTGAAC